ATATTTCATCTTTTTCTTCTTTATGTTTTAGTATACCTCGCCTATGAACTAAACTGTTTCAGAATAGAAATATTTTGCTAACGAATCAACCAAGTAACATTACCCATCAGAATAAAAACCGTTAAGCTACTGAAGTGTATGACCTAAACTCATCTGAAAATTATGCTGATTTTCCGCCAATTTTGCATATTTTACTTCATTCAAATAATGTTGAGGTTTTGTTAAAAATATGCACAAATACTTATATCACTCAAGAATTTCAATCTTATTTGGCAAACTGTTTTCACCGTACCATTTTATTAACTTTGCAATATAGGTGCTTTAGAGGTCTAAATAATATTTATGGAAAGGTATACCATACCAAATTCCTTCTGACTTAAAATTCCAAAGATAGTTTTTTCATTGCTTTTTCTTACATATGTCATCCTTTTTTTAAAACATCTCTCGCCTATAAACTAAGCAGCGAGAGTAGCCCAAAATAAAAAAAAACATGCAACCTGTAAAAAGCATGCCTTGAAGTTACAAAATAGAATCCCGAATTTTTCATGTTTACTAATTCAAATAATGTGCTAAGTTAAACAAAAGTATTAGAAGTTCATTTGGTAGTTATTAAAAAATACATATTCCTAATCTATTTAACCATATTAACCATATTAAAAAAACAATATTAAACTGACTTCAGTGATGAGTTTAATTTAAATAAATACATTAACCATATTAACCATTTCATTTGTCAATATAATGAAGATTCATTATATTCAAATAATGAATTTGACGATAAAAGAAGATTCATTAAACTGGCTAAGTTGATCAGTAAAATATTAGAAGTTCATTTGGCAGTTATTAAAAAAATACATATTCCTAATCTATTTAACCATTTTAACCATATTAAAAATACAATATTAAACTGACTTTAGTAATGAGTTTAAGTGAACAATTTTTTAAAGATTGGTATATCTTATGTGTCTGATAACAAATGTAGTTCAACACATTCAGTTTGCTATCGTGGATTCTTACAAATAAACATTCAAAATACATTAAAATATAACAACTTGAGAATAAATTTGATTAAAGAAGTAATTCTTAATAATGAGTATTTTAGTTAACTATTACTTTGGTATACAGGTTAAGGGTTGCTGGTTCTACGCCCAAATTTGTATTGTAGAAAGATCTTCATAATCTAACATTAAATAATGAGTATTTTAGTTAACTATTACTTTGGTATACAGGTTAAGGGTTGCTGGTTCTACGCCCAAATTTGTTCAATTCTATCATTAAAGAATTGGGCTTACCTGGGATGTAGTAGTAAAACATGCTTTAAAAAGCTTAAGTATGAGGGAGCATCTCTTTATTGTCACAGTTGTCGAGATGTCAAACAGACAGGTATTTGGCGGTACATGTTAAAATTAATGGTGAAGCATAGTAAGCATTTTGTTGAGGTAGTTATGTGGTATGATGTTTCAAGTAAGCTAATTGGCAAACCAGCAGATGATCTAAGTGACAGCCTTAGCTTGGTAAAGTGTTCAATTTATATTCTGTGTTATGTTTATCTGAGATTTTTAATAATTTGGAATTAGTAGTGTATTTTAAGTATAAAGTTTACTGGTCTTCTTTTATGCAGGAGACTTTATCGCTTTCTGATGTTCATAATGATGTCTTGGATTTGATTGGCCGGGAATTCACATTCAAAGTTGGGAATCGGAAATTCAATACCCTTACAAATCAGAATGAGTATACAATAGCTGCGTTTTCTGAAAACGCAGAAAAAATTAAAGAGCTGAAGGAGTCTGTTCAAGAGGAAGTATTTGAGGTATTAATTGTCTCCACAAAATTAATTAAAAATTTATGAAAACGGAATAAAGTTGATTGTTGCCGGCATAGTAAATTTTTCCCTTTTAAATAACCATATTTGAAAATAGCCCATTTGAAATTAGTTTCTACAAACTTGCAAACACTTGAACTTTAACATACACTTGTGTAAATACTTTATTAAGATGTTGTTATACTACTTTTGTGCTTAACTGTTAAACTAAAAAAGTAATCTCACACAAAAAGAGGAACTTGGCTTTTAAACCTGCTCACAACTTTGTTGTATTGTGGTATTTATGTAATAAAAAAACTAAAACTCTAACGCTTGGTTACTATCCTTTGGTTCGTATTAGGTATATAACTCAGATTTCGATCTTGATTTGATGTGTGGTGAAGACACCAATGTCGAATCAAATATGGTAAAATATTTACAACTTTGTTATAAATAGAAAATTATATGCAAATTAGTGAAAAGGAACTGATCCAGGTGTGCAATTTTTCAGACGCCGCACTCACAAGATGTTGAATCTCATTGTACCCCCGAGTCGGTTTTGTCCAAGAGACATGTTAATGATGAAAATGCATCTGATGGAACGGAACAAAGCTCAGCCACCAAGAAATTGAAGGGGGTTAAGATTGAGATTTGACTTTACATGCAATAATTTATTTTCTAATGAATTTTGAATTTTGCTACTTGGGAATTGACGTGTGTGATTTAATTTTTACTTTGGTTTGAATAAGCAAGACAATTTATCACTACATTATAAATTTCATATATACTGAAGTTATGAGATTTTTTCCATTTTTTGCATCTACAATGTTTTACCTTAAAAAATCAACAAATGAAACATCTTTTATCGTTTCGATGTCTCAATATGTTTTATGTGGATTGTGGTTAAAATTCTGTTGAGTGTTTGTTGGTATTGATCTTTCTAATTGGTGGGCATAACGGACAGCATATGTAAGTGTGTAACAAGATGCAATGTGTGATGCTAACTTTGTAAATTTTGGTTGTAGAATTTCTAATTTGAAATTTAAATAAGGTATTAGGAAAGGAACTTGCAGCTCAAAAATGTTTTGGGAATAGGCTGGGTATAAAAATTGAGATATCTACAAGTATTTTTAATGAAATATCATATGATCAAATTTGGTTTGCTCTGGTAGATCACAAATTCGATCCAATCACTCCATGCGTGTTAGTATAGATGAGAATAAAAAAGAAGAGATGTAATGATGGTTTGTAATATAGATGTGTATTTAGCATTTTTGTTTCGTCAATTCTGACATATTTTATTCCTGTTAGCATTTTTTATTCACCCCATGCATGTTAGCATTTTTATTCATCCTATTGCAAGCTTATTACATAGTTACTACTGCGTATATAAAGAGTAAAAATCTCATCAATCTAGAATTATAGAAGTCCTGTTTGGGCAAGTCCATTTGAGTGGTTTCTTGGTGGAATTTTTTGATTAATTTTGACAACACGCTCATCATGAATTATATATATGTGTACTTAGTTTAGTATATATAAATCTACTACGAATAAGTTAAACATTACATAACAATATAAGGTTGGAATTATAACATTAACAAAACACAACAATTCTAGGTATTACGTTGAAGATCAAAATGAAAATAAATTTCATAGTCATTCTAAATAGCTTGAAGTTCACCACCCAATATTAAGGATTTATTGTGAGAAACTACATGTTTTTAATAAGACAATTGGAGTTAATGATGGTTTACTTGCTTATTTGACAATTCGAGTTCAAACGTGGTATATTTCATCAAGTGTGTACTTTGTACGGTGTTTAAGAAAAAAGATTCGAATAAAATGTACTACCTCCCGTCACAATTTGATAGTTCCGTTTAATATTCATTACTTTTTTATTTGGATTGTTTTCAGTCCTAGACCAAACCAAACCAAATCAGACTATTTTAGACAAGATCAGATCAGATCGGATTAGATCAGACCAGAATTTTTTAGTCCAAGTAAAAACATCCTGACGTGGTCAACATAAATCAATATTAATCTTTTATTTTCGTTTGCACAATTGTAAATTTTATTTATTACAAATATTTTGACCGGTGACAAAGATTAGCAAGATCGACCCTCTATGTTTGAGGGCCTAGGAGCGGAGAAATTAAATAGGCTTGCTTTTAGAAAAATTGAACAACTTTTTTGGTCTAAACTAACATGTATAGTAATAATAACCGTTCAAAAAAAAAACTCAAAACATTTAAATAAACTATTAAACTTTCTTCTATCTAAATAAATAATATCAGTATTGTACAAATAGGATGTTTTTACTTGGACTATAATTCGTCCCAGACCAGACCAGACCAGATCATACCAGACCAGACCAGTTCAGACTAGACCATACCAGACTTGGATAGTTATAAAAATACAAAGAAATCAGACCAGATCAGACCAATTCAGACCAAACCAGACCAGACCAACAAATTATAATCCAAGTAAAAACATCCTTGATGATCTTTATTTAGGAAGAAAACATGATAGTCCTATAGTGCAACTTATTAATGTTTTACTGTTATTTAAGGAATTAAGTCTATTATTGTTCACTACTAAATTCTCACCTCCAATGATGTGATAATTCTTAATTGTTTCATAGCTAAATCATTCTTATTCTTTGAATTATCATGAGGATTTTTAGAATCTTAATTCCTTACATATATAACCAAACTTTTCCATTGAATCGTTTTTACTTAGCTCCACATTATCTAATTTTTTCTTCTCTTTTTATCCTATCTAGATTTAATCATTTTTAATACATCTTGAAATTAATTAAATTTATCAAAATAACAATACATTTTACCCTTGAAATTAAAGAAAGTACTCCCCCGTTCCGCTAACAATGGGATAAGAGGGAGTGACACACAAATCAATAAAAAGTGGTTTATGTGATTGATATTGAATTGATAAAGTAAGAATTAAGTATGAATGATTTAAAATGGGACAATCATAGCACGACGGAGGTAGTATAATTTTATCAAGGTTTTGACTTTCATCAAAAAAGGTTTTGACTTTTATAAAAATTTCACATCGAAAATTTTAATATACTCCTCCAAATGTACTTTCAGTTTCACGTCAATTAGAAGTCTCTACCAACAAACAATGAGCAGCTGCCACAAAGATGCAATTATATCTCTGTCACCAACTAACAAAAAGCAGAAGCAACAAAGATACAGTTTCACTCCAATTAGAAGTCCCTGCAGTCACAAAAAAGCTTCGCTCGGTTAGTTACATCAATTCGATCAAGTGCTCTCCTTCTTGATAGCGGTACGGTGGTTCTACCGTGATCTCGGCTATATACTTTTTGGCAGAGCCGTCTCGCCGTCCATTCCTCTTCTACACCGCTCGCCGCCATTCCGGATTCCTCAAGCACAGGTGAATTACGGTATACGATTTGATTATGAATATTTTCCAGTTACAAAGCTTTGTAATAAGGACTGAGAGAGCATTTGTGTTCTGTTATATATAATATGTTAAAACAGAAGCTACAGTCAGGTGTAGCATAGCGGTTAACAGGTCTAATGCAAAGCTGTTGAAACAGAATGCCACAAAGCTCGATCACATACGATAGTTTGTATGTTTTGAAGAACTCTTGAAGCATTTTAATGTTCTATTTGAAAGACTCTTAAGTTCAACTATTTCTAAACACTTCTATGATGGCAGCAACCATAAAAATCTTCTAATATATATATATATATATATATATATATATATATATATATATATATATATATATATATATGTGCAGGCAATATGTATGGCACGATGAGTAATACAGTCATCAAAAAGCAGCAAACATAAGTATGATTGCAATCTTACCGACTACAAATACTCAACGTTTCTACAGTATGTCGGAGAACAAATATTACTTCCAAATCTCAATTTCAGGTTTAGAAAACTTAACCTTTTTAATACTCCGTATATAAATTTGGAACCCTTCCTCAATATGATTTTTACCTTAGTTTGCTCCGTCGTTGTTATAAATTTGATTATAAGTCTCATGTTTCTTTCAATGTGTTCATATATATTGATATGAATAATACTTCTAATGACCTAAACTTCTTTTTTTTTGAAAGGATGACCTAAACTTCTTAATAGATAATTACTGCATGTTCAGCTTTTCATTTGAATAGTTATTAGCAAATTTAATATTTTCAATAGTCATCAATACCGGCACCCTTATATATATAAATATTAAAATCATTACTTTTTATTTGAAGCATTACAAATGTACCATACATTGACTCCTCTTCTTTTACAACGAAGACGTGGGATAGTATTTTAATGCCCAAGTTTTATACAAAGTATAATTAATACTACAAAGGTTTTATATATGTACTCCCTCCGGCCCGGTCATTTCTTCCGGTTTTGACCGGTATCGCAAATTTAGGTAGTGAGAATAAAGTAAAAATGTATGGTTGTAGTTGTGTAAGAAAAAAGTGAATGAATGTGAACCACATATTTTTTCCAAAAGTGGAAGTTGGAAGAATTAACTTGGGGCGGTCCAAAAAGGAAAGTTGGAAGAAATGACCGGGACGGAGGGAGTATTATTTGTATGATGTTATTTGGAAAAAGTGAAAAATAATACGGCCAACTATCATTGTTTCTCTTTTAATATTAAAAAATACCAATTATTGCTATATAGTAACAACTATCCGTAAATAAAAATCAATGATTTCATATAACATGCTATATAGAAGTATAGGTTTGCACACTGATGAAAAACTATGTAATCTTTAATAACTCAGAACGCAAATTATTATGTTTTGGTGGCAGTGAAAAGTTAATTAGGCAAATTCTATGCTTCATAAAATAAAAAGTGGGGGTTTTGGCTTGCGATGTCTTCAAAATAAAAAGTTCAATTTTTCCGGATAGTGGTATATAAAGGAATCTATGAGCTCAAATCCAACAAATAATCAGAATTTAAAAATATGGGATTTTAATTACCCATAAATTATGATACATATATCTTCAGTATGTGTGTGAACCACATCGTGCACAGTAACAAATAAAAATATATTTGTGCATAACAAATGCTAACTTTGGCTAACAATTTTTTTTGTAGGGTTCTAATTGGAAAACACATTCGATGAGGAAATTGACAAAATCCACCATTATAATAGGCAAAAGATCATTTCCCTTAGGTGAAATTGTGCAGAATGCCGACTCCAATAATGAAGATTCTAATCTTGGCATTGCTAACAGGATTCACACTGGTCCTAAAAGACCAAGAGCAATGGGAACCGAAAATGAACCAAATGCCATTTTCCCTCTTGACTTGAATAAAAGTTCTTCTTTGTGTTCGAATAGAGCACCATTGCAAAATATAACGAACGGTAATAATACTATGAAGCGTTATAAAATTTGGTTTTTCCAGTTTAACAATTTATTATTATGTTTTTTATTATTTCTTATTATTTTTTTGTTTAGTCCCGTCGAGAACACTTACTATTGGTAAAAGTTTTGGAGGGACAACTTCTCTATCTTACACTCCTTATCATACTGAAACATCACGAAAAAGAGATATGTCTGAGGCCCGTACTACATTCACTTCTGAACAAATTGAATTATTGGACGTTGGCGATGTCAATGGAACATATTATGAAGTAGATAAAAATACTGAAGGTATCAACGATGTTAACACTCATAAATGAATGCAACATTTCAATCCATGAATATAAAGTAATAAATTTTTAAATATATATTATTCAAATAATTCGTGTATCGTGTGATTTAATTTTTTTTATTTATATATATTATTATGTGCATAACTAGAGTGTTAAAATGCACATGTCACTACTTATTTTCAGGAGATAGGTGCACAGAGATACCTGATACATTTTCAGATGATGATGGGATCGCATTTGATGGTAAATAAAATTGGTTATGAGTTATTCATCGAGTAGTATTTTTTAACCATCGTGCCTTTTACATCAGCAAAATGAAATGAAATTTATTAATTTATAAACATAATTATTTCTTTTATTTGCAGTGGAAGACTCATCATATGCATTTAATTCGTATGAAGGTATTTAGTAATTTTTTATTGAGAACATTTTAAAGATTTTTTATATGATCATTATTATTAAATAGATTAATGAAATGAATTTAAGTATTTGTGGAATATGTTTGAGATTATTTCTATTTTTCGTATGCAGATTATTTAGATCTGGGTGACAGTACTTACACATGGAAAGAGTTAAAAGACATGGAAAGCAAAAACCAAAGTTCTCAATGTGTTGCAATCAAGGAGATGTTGTACTCCCCAAGATGCAAACACCCCCACAGTTGTTAGGGGCTTTGATATTTGGCACAGATGAGCGTAGTGGACATTTCCTTAAAAATATACGTTCATATAATTCTATGTTTTCGTTTACTTCAATGTGCGGAAAAACTGATGGAAGCATAAATAGTGGCACTTCACCTAAGTTTCTACAGATGTACTTATCTGATCCAGCTGAAGAGATTGCACACAGAATAAACGCTGTGAGGTAATTTTTAGAAAGCACAATTATTAAATGAACATTAAATCTTCACAATGAGAATTAAATTCGCTTTTAAAAACTTTAAATGATCAGGAAAATAAATTTAAAAAACATTAATTTTAATGCTTCAAAATAGTGCATACGGTTGAGAGTAATAATGTTTTGTACAAATGAAAAAAAAAATCATTAGTACAATTGTTTCAGCAACTATTTTCAAATGATAGTTAATTTGTGAGCAAATGTTCTAAACTCTATGTGAACAAATTCAGTAGTTTTAATCTATCTTTAATTGTAATATAATACAATTATTATGTTTTCTTATTTTAAATATCCCTTGAATAGTATCACTCCGTCTGTACCACTAATTAAATAAATATGATGCAGGAATGAGGATGATACCTCCTTGCAATCTTCATTGGTGCAAGACTTGAAAGAAATGCTTGACACATACAATGTGCATGCAAAATCATTCAGAATGGCGAGAGATCGATTTAATGAGTCTAATTCCATCACATTGAAAATGAAACTCATCGACAAAAGGCACTCAGAAGGCCGCACTTACAACATGCCAAGTGTCAATGAAGTTGCAGCGCTAATTGAAGGTGATTTTGATGTAAACAAAAAAGAAAGAGATGTGCTTCTTCAAACAAAGACAGGTGCTCTACAAATTATTTCTGAATTGAACCCATCTTTCTTGGGTTTGCAATACCCACTTTTATTTCCATATGGCCAAGATGGGTTTAGAGAAGATGTGTCGTTGACGCGTGCAATAAATAGCGAGAGCGAGAGTGGGAGGAGGCGTGTCACCATAAAAGATTTCTTTTCATACAGATTGCAGGAGAGGACTGATGAATCACCTTATCTATTGAGATCAAAGAGATTGTTTCAACAATTCATTGTTGATGGGTATACAATGGTTGAATCATCACGATTGCAGTACATCCGTCTCCACCAGAAACAGTTAAGAAGTGACTTATATAGTGGCTTAGCAGACGCTGTTGGAAGGGGAGAAACGGATGCATCTAGAGTCGACCAATTAATTGTTTTGCCAAATTCCTTCACAGGTAGTGCACGCTTTTTTTTGAAATAATTCATAATGACAAACAGTCCTACAGAAGCCAACATAAAATTATCATTCACTTCTTTTGTAATTTGTGCAATCCATCAAATTGAAATCCGAAAAAGAACATGTTGTAACAAACCTTCTTTTTTGTGGCACAGGTAGTGCACGCTATATGTTGCAAAATTACCAAGATGCAATGGCTATATGTAAATGGGCGGGGTACCCACAACTATTCATCACATTTACATGTAATCCGAAATGGCCGGAGATTATTCGCTATGTTGATGACAAGGGATTGGATCCAAATGACCGACCGGATATCCTTTCCAGGGTTTTTAAGCTAAAACTCGAACTTCTCATCAAGGATCTGAAGGAAAATAAGTTATTTGGTGATGTCAAAGCAGGTAATATTTAAATTCATGACTGTGTATAAATAAGAACTATGTGCTAAAGTATTAGTTCAATTTCTGGTATCTTCATGAAATATAAAGTAATTAAAAAATGTTTAAAATGACAAACCTTCTTAATGATTGTAGACCAATGTGAAAAAAATTAGATATATATTTTGGGATACATGCCATCTTTAATTAATACGCAATATATTTAAGGGGATACTTAGGTCAGTCCGGACTGACAAGAGCTGTCATCAGGTCAAGCCTGTCTGAGGGTCTTTGCAGTCGATTTTTTTGATGAAAGATTGTGAGCATTTTCTTCATGAAGTTTAGAATTTTCACACATACTTTCGGCTTAAAATTCAATTGGAAAGTCAATTAAATAATTCTATGAAAAATACTGCATTTTTTATGCATATTTTGGTGCATTGCATTTCAATAATAAAATTTTTAACTGACTTTCCAATAGAATTTGGATATGAAATTTTGTTGAGATAATTATTGAAACTTCATTATCAATATATTCACACAAACCTTCAGCTTTAGATTCAATCATTAAGTAAGTTAACTAAATTTTTGCAAAACACTGTGTTTTTTATGAATATATTTGCGCAGTGTGTTTCAATGATTTATTTAGTTGACTTCTCAGTATAATTTTAAGCTAAAATGTTTTGGAGATAATCTAAACTTCATGATGAACGTTCGCACAAAATTTGAGCTTAAGATTCAATCTGAAAGTAAGTTAAAATATTTGTTTGAATGACAATGTGTTTTTTATGCATATTTTTGGGCAGTGCATTTTAATGATTTATTTTATTAGGTTCTCAATTGAATTTTAAGTTTAAACTTTTTGGAGACAATAAAAAAATCGTGAAGAATAATCTCATCACCAAATATCTTCAAAAACGTCCACCGGGAAGGTCCTCAGATTGCGTCATCCGAATGGCTGTTATGGTCAGTCCGGACAGACAGGAAAATTAGTCATACATATAGACAGTGGTTCTGGTGCGGACTGCCGGATGAAATGAATTCTCTATGTATGTATGTGTTTAGGCGATTTAGATACGGAGTACTATGTATTTGTGTTTTTGTATATTTTTTTAAAACAGATTTAGAAATTGGCCGCTAAACATATAAATATAGACGACTATGGTTTTATAAAAGTAATGAAATTCATATTATGTTCAGTTTAATTTTGAAATATAAAAAACATTTTCTTAAAGATGAATTATGATGTGAAATACATAAAAAATGTTATGCGATAGAGAACCTATATGTGTATATCCTTAAGCACACATGTCACTTTTTTTTGAAAGAACATGTGTCATTTATATATGCAAAAAATATAACAATCACTTGACAATTTTAATTTAATTATCTTATTAATCAAAAACATTTATTTTAATTTTGTTGTGCAGTTGTCTACACTGTGGAGTTTCAGAAACGTGGATTACCACATGCGCACATTGTATTGTGGCTTTCGATGACAGAGCGCAATGCAAACCCATCGGTGATGATCGATAGAATTATTTCAGCAGAGATCCCAGATGAATATGTTGACCCTGTGTATTACAATGCAGTTAAAGAATTGATGATCCACGGTCCATGTGGCCCTATGAATGCATCTGCACCATGCCACAGAAAAAGGCCGGTGCACAAAGCACTTTCCAAAGAGATTTGTCGTTCGCACGACAATGGATAAGCAAGGTTATCCGATTTACAGACGCAGAGACAACGGCAGGTATGTTACTAAGAATACCCACGATCTCGATAATAGATATGTCATGCCACACAACCGTGGCTTATTGTTGAAGTATAGTGCTCACATTAATGTCGAGTGGTGTAACCAAACACGGGCAGTTAAGTACTTATTTAAGTACATCAATAAGGGTGACGATCGGATAACCGTTGAGTTCTCAGAAGCTATAGATAACTCTACTCCAAAAATAATAGATGAGATTAAGATGTACTATGACTGTCGGTATATATCCGCATGTGAGGCTGCTTGGAGAATTTTCGGATTCCATATTCATTATCGAGATGTACCAGTTGAGCGTCTCACTTTTCATCTTCCTGATGCACAGAACGTATACTACAATCCCAATGCATCTATAAGCTCAGTACTGAATAAACCAACAATCAACTCCACAAAATTCACGGCTTGGATGAAAGCAAATCAAGTGTATCCTACTGCCAAAGAGCTGACGTATGTTGAGTTTCCAAGCAAATTCAGGTGGAAGAAAAATACCATGGAATGGGTAGAAAGGAAGAGAGGATTTGCTATTGGACGCATTTATTATGTACGACCTGGAGCAGGGGAGAAGTACTACCTACGAATATTGTTGAATATTGTGAAGGGAGCAACCAGCTTTGAGGAGTTGAGGACTTATGAAGGGATCGTATATCCTACATTTAGAGACGCGTGCCACGCGCGTGGTTTACTTAAAGATGACAAGGAGTTTATTGATGGCATTACAGATGCGAGCTTCTGGTCTTCTTCACGGTCACTTCGCATTGTATTTGCTACTCTACTGGTTTCAAATGAGTTTTCGAAGCCAGGCTTAGTGTGGCAAAAGTGTTGGGAGTTTTTCTCTGATGACATACTATACAATATTCGCAAGAATACGGGTAATCCGGGTATATTATATTCTAAACCATCTTTTTTTATTTTTAGTGAATTACTCGCTTATAAAAATTTATATATTTTAGTTCTACAATAATTACTTCTCGATGAAATACTTAATTGATTATCTTACATACATAGCTAATGACATATTAAGTGAGATAAAAAAATGTACATGATAGTATATTAATATATATACGAAAAAGATCACATCAAGTAGTTTTGCAAGGAAGCCCCGTCCAAACTTGACTATCAGGTGTGATGCCGTTGGAAATTTTTAATGAAATTTTATGAGAACCTTCCTCATGAAGTGTAGATTATATCCACAGATTTTCACCTTGAAATTAAATCAGGAAATCAGTTGAATAAATCATGGAAAATGACTGCATTTTTCGTGTACATTCTGGCGCAGTTGCTTTTAAATTTGGTGGTAATAAACTATACTTGATGATGAGAATACTCACAAAATTTCATTAAAAACTATCACCGGGAACTACATGTGATAGGAAAGTTCGAACGGGGTTTAACGTAACAACTACCTGAGCTAATCATTACTTATATATATGAAAAAGATCATCATAAAAAATATTTTTTGAATATACTAAATTTTAGTAGTTTATTACCTTATTAAAATTATTTATTACAAAATATTTATTTAGGTAATATGAACGATACCTTCTACTATGTTACCATGTACAATAACGTAGTTTACTATGGGAGTACTTCTTACTATGTTATATATGCCTTTTGGATGCTTTTTCATAATAGTATAAAAAATATACGTAGAGTGAACTTATTATATTTACTAAATTGACAGAAAAAATCTAAAAGGTTTAACAAATAAAGGTTTATCAATTAATACAAATAATAGCACTTTTACTATTACTTAATTTTTACTATACATTTTCACTTAAAAAAATACAAAAAGCTATGCATCTTTTCATGCTGAGTGATGAATTTAATAAAATATACAACATTTAATTACTGAATTAGTAAACATGTTTTCTTTATGTGCATGTTAATTAAAGTTAGAAGTATTGCATGTGTAATTTGGTTGTGATGAAATGTATATATTGTGGAATATTTGATTTATTAGTTTAATCTTAACTAAGGTACTAAAATATTTAAATGCGCTACTGCAGATTTTGAACTGGATAAAGAGAAAATTGAAAAGTACTGTTTGTTGGAGATTCAGAAGCTCTTGCAGTCGAGAGGTAGATCACTACGTGATTTTGCTGGCATACCCTTGCTACCTGATGATGAAATGCCCTCGCTTGAAGAAGTTCTCATTCATGAAGAGCTGCGGTATAATAAATCGTATCTGATTGAGGAGCATGCAAAGTTGTTGGCCAAGATGACAGATGAACAACGTGTTGTGTATGATAGGATAATGGAATCTGTAGATAGTAGAAACGGGAAATTCTACTTTTTATATGGCCACGGAGGAACTGGGAAAACATATCTATGGAGGACTTTGTCTGCAATTGTGAGATCTCGCGGTGATATAGTTCTTAACGTGGCTTCAAGTGGTATAGCATCGCTTCTCTTGCCTGGAGGAAGAACCGCACATTCGAGGTTTGCGATTCCACTTAGTGTTGTAGAAGACTCCACGTGCAACATAAAACATGGTAGTCCGTTGGCCAAGCTGATAGAGTTATCTAAGTTAATTATATGGGATGAAGCACCTATGACGCACCGACACTGTTTTGAAGCTCTTGATCGGAGTATGAGAGACGTGCTTCGTTACTCCAGCCACTGTGACACTACCTTGCCTTTTGGTGGGAAGACGATTGTATTTGGTGGTGATTTTAGGCAAATTCTTCCTGTGATACCAAAAGGCACGAGACAAGATATTGTGCACGCCGCATTGAACAGTTCATTCTTGTGGTCACATTGTACTGTAGTGAGGCTTACTAAAAACATGAGGCTAGCAAGGATGCTCGGCCAGCCGGATGGACCAACTATCCAATCTTTTGCAGAGTGGATTTTGAAGATTGGTGACAGAGCTTTTGCTGAAAATCAAGACGGAGAATCACTAATTGAAATACCAGACGATATGATTGCTCCAATGACGTCTGATCCTGTTGAATCTATAGTTCAAGCTATTTATCCAGATTTCTTAACCCAGGGTGATCCGATTAATTATCTTTATTCCAGGGCTATTCTTGCTCCAACCATAGATGAGGTTGATAAGGTCAACGATTACATGTTGAGCCAGATAGATTCAGAGTTAAAGACATACCTAAGTTCAGATTCAGTTTCTTCATCTGACTCAGATAGTAATGATCTCTTGCATGAGATACATTCTCCTGAATTTCTTAATAGCATCAAATGTGCTGGCTTGCCGAGTCATGAGCTCAAGCTGAAAGTTGGAGTTCCTGTGATGCTTATGAGGAATATCGATCATTCATCTGGATTGTGCAACGGCACACGACTTCTGGTCACTAAACTTGGAACTCATATTATTGAGGCTCAGATGATGCACGGAGAAAATGCCGGCGAAAAATTTCTTATTCCCCGCCTTACTTTGACACCATCGGACATTAGTCTCCCGTTCACTTTTCAGCGTAGGCAATTTCCGTTAATGGTTAGCTATGCAATGACCATCAACAAGAGCCAGGGACAGTCATTGGAAAAGGTTGGCATCTTCCTCCGTCGTCCTATTTTTACGCATGGACAGTTGTACGTGGCTGTCTCGATAGTAACAAGTCCGTCTGGGTTAAAGTTTGTTATATGTGACGAAGAAGGGAAACCAAAGAAGTCAGCGTTGAATGTAGTATACAAAGAAGTTTATACTAATTTGTAGTTCCCTTTCTTTACATGCATACATCCATACTCATTGCTAGCATATCACTTCATGATATGTACTTAACTTTTAGCATTATTTTTTAATGTCGTATTAAATATGAATACTTATTTTATTTTATTGTTTAATGTGATTAGTTTGTTTTAGTTTTTAATTTTATGTTTTGAGTTAGGTTAATTGACTATGAAATTCTTTGAGTATATATTTGGTTGATCCAAACATCTCACTCCCGTGCGTAGCACGGGTGGAATTACTAGTGTTCTAAAAGGCGCTAGGCGCTAGTCGGGCGCCAGCCCAGCGCCTAGCGCCTAGGCGCCTAGGCGGGTGCCTAGGCGGGGACTAGTCGGAGACATATAAATTGTTGTTTTATCAATATTTTTGCATGAATATGATTAGTAATGTTGTGTTTGTGTGTGTAAAACAAATATATACACATTAACATGCATGAATGATAGAGTTGTCACATTTAATAATATATTATAACTCACATACTCACCGATAGCTTTCTTAATATGTGTTATTAAAGTTAAAACGTGTATATCTCTTTAGATACTAAAATAAGAAAAACTAAAAAATGTTCGATGAATCTAGACACCTAGACAGCCGATAAATCGCTCTGGGCGGGCAAATAGGCACCCTACGCGGTCGGCCAATTCACCTGGACCTCAAATAAATTAGTCGGAGCGCCTAGACTAAAATTGGGGCGCCCGGTCACCGCCTAGCACCTAAGCGGGGACTAATCGAACGTCTAGAACGAGTTTTAGAACAATGATTGGACCAAATATTATCAAAAAATACCATACCAACTACCAAGTAGAAATTGTCCCATCAGATACGTGGTATACGGAGTATCATACCAGCCACCAACTCAAAGCTTGACGCTCACCAACTCTCCTTCCTTACCAAACCCGCAATAAACCTCAGGCAAGGCCCTTCCACACACCAAATGATGTATCCATATATGCATTTTCCTCTCTAGACTTTCACCATTCTGCCCAGGAAAGGAGGCGATTTACCCCATTTCCCCTTCCACCTCTCCGTCCGGGATTCTTCATTTCTTTGTAACATGGAATTGGTAAGTCTGGAACAACCACTCCATTTCTTTATTTCTCCCTCCTTTTAATCATTTTTTTAGCTTTTTATTTTTTATTGAGTTGTGCGTTGACTTATATTCATTGATGGAGAAAATAAAAAACAAATTGTCGATTCCCCCATCCCATTTCGGGTAGGTATTCCCGAAGCTGTATTCACATTCACCTAACTTTATTGCTAGTCAAGTGCATCGCTGATTTGATGTTGACTGTGACGGAATAAATTTCGGTGGTTTGTTGAAGGTTGCTGATTCTGGGGTGGCGAAGAAGATGGAGGGGATGAGGAAGAATACGACCCTCATTTGTGTTCCGATCATGGCCTCCACTGTGGATGACATGTTGGATCAGATGGGGAGGGCGAAGTCTAGCCAAGCTGATCTTGTCGAAGTTCGATTGGATAGCTTGAACAGCCTCAACCCTCTTCCCGACCTCTCCAAGTTAATTCAACAATCTCCATTGCCTACGCTGTTCACTTACAGGTTCTTTTTTTCTTTAATGCTTTCACTGCCATGATTAGGCCTCTATTGTCTTAACTCCAATGCCTGGTTGGGATTTTTAATTTTACCGCTGTGCCATGAAATGATGAAGTAAGATAATAATGTAATAAGATGTAAAACAAAACTATATGGAACTTCTAACTAGCTTTTACTGCCCGTTGGGTATTCGCTAAATGGGGTTTTTCCTGAAATATTACTAAAATAAAATTTATGAGCAAAAAGGTGACTAAAGTTATTATGGGTGTACTTTTATGGTCACTAAGACGTAAGAATTAAACATAATCACAGGACTAAGTCATATTTTTCTCTTTATCTTCATTTTGGTCATACATTGTGTATTGTTTCTTGTTGAATGCGAACACTATTTTACTCAATGTTGGTGCATCCAGCCAATAGAGCTTGTAGAGCTTTAGCTGGAGTAACAATGAATTGATGAAGGTGGGTGGAAGGATGTTGGGGGTGAACAAAAATTGTAATATGAACTTACACCATTAATTAATATTTGAGTCCACATGGAAAGAAGAAACTGATTTTTATTGAAAGGGGAAGAAACTGAGTTATTTAGCTGAAAATTGAAATATAAACTCACACCATCAATTAATGAGTTCACATGGAAGGAATTGAGGTATTTAGCTGTCAATGCGATCATCCTTGGCCCGCATTTTGAAACTCTTGAAAAATGAATATACTCCATCCACCCCTAAATAACAATAGTATTGTTTTGTCAAAGTACCTTACTAGTTCTTACTTTTGGCAAGATACAACTCTAAAAAGTCAATTAATCTGATAGATAGTAAAGCGGAAAAGGGACAAATAATCAAGAAGCAAGATGATGTATTATAAAATAGAAATGGAGGAATGTGCATGTATAACCCAAAGGTATTCTCGAGCAAGAAGAGAAGAAAATGAAATACCTGAAGGTATTCCACATCAAGATTAACTTCCCCAACAGCCTACTCTAATGAATCCCAAATCCTACTCAAAATACCTCATATGCTAAAAGAAGCCCTTATGTGTATCACCGTAAAGGTAAATAATCGATGGATTGAATAATTGTAGGAGTCATATTTAAGTCACTTATCCCAGAAGCAAGCTCTCATTTTCCTTTATTTCCTCCGCTTCTACCTTAGTCCAACTTATTTTTAATAGTTACTCCGTATATTTTATTTTAACTAAGTTTATCATATTGAACTTATTGTTACCTTTTTGCAGAAAGCTATATTCAAACTTAGCTGTGACTTTTTATGTCGGCAGGGAAAAAAAATCAAAAAAGGAGCCCTTTTTCAATGTCATGTGGCTTCAACTCTTTTGTGATGTACTCGGAAAATAAAAATACCACTGAAAATAAAAATGTAGCAGTGATTGTGCACTTTAGTCCTTATAAAAATGATAACAGAAGGCTATACATGCATAATACCGTTGGTGTTGCCTATGGCCTTTTACTTGGCAGCCAAGACACTCTATACAAGGAAGTTTATTTGGGTAACCTATAACCATGAATAGTTGAGGTAGGAACGTTGGATGGTTTCTACTCTGTGTTTGCACTAATTCCATCGATGCAGTTGTCCCTTATGGGTATGTTTCGATCACCGAAAATCTAGGGAAAATGGCAAGGAAAATTATCTTCTTGTGTTTAATTTTACCTTGGAATATAAAAAGTGAAATATGATTAGTATCTTACATATATTCCAATTTCTTAGTAGTTGTATGATAAAACATTAGTTAACAAAATGAGCATCAACAAACATCTAAAATAAATTCATTAAGTTTATCTTCTATTTCCTCTACAATATCTTTGATCTCTACTTTTTCTCTATGCCTCCATTTATATTTTTGCCAAGTTGTTCCAGATCCAAAGGAACCATATAAGTTACGGATTATAATATTTCCTTTTATTGTTGGCATTGCACAGCAATTATGTAAAAATACTCTAATCATGCGCTGTCATGCAGGCCGACATGGGAAGGTGGTATGTATAATGGTGATGAAAATAGCCGAATGGATGCACTTCGCTTAGCGATGGAGCTCGGAGCTGACTATATAGATGTTGAGCTCAAGGTAACATAAGATTCCCACAAATTCTTCCACATAATTGGCTGTTTCAGGATCTGAAACAGCCAAGGGAATAAGTTTGGATTATGTACAATTCAATGAATTTACTTTATGGGTGCTAAAATGAAAATACTTTCCATGCATTCTTAATTAATATTCAGGTTTTGGAAGATAAGTTATATATTAGATCAAGATTTGAAAGCTGAAAACTATGAATTTAGGACCACGATGATTGAAATTATCAATTCAAGACTTTAAAATATCATAAATCCTTGTGTATTTTTAAATAGATGCTTGAGTAATTTTTTTTAATCCATGAAGGGATTTTTCATTCAATTAACTCAAATATGATTAACAATAAAAAGTATTCAAAATTTTTGTTTTTTAGACTAATGGATTGATAATCAATCCATCATTCTAAATGGATAGTTTTTGCCTTTGTATAGTACCATGCATACAATACTTTTAACAATCTCTGCATCCATTGAAATATCACAAGAATTTCATGATTTCCTCTCTGATGATCCAGTCATTTAATTCAATCAATTTTTTTAATACATGTAGGCTATTCAGCAGTTTAATAGTTCTCTTCCCGTAAAGAAGACCGCCAAATGCCAAGTAATCATTTCATCTCATAATTATCATAACACACCATCAGTTGAGGAGCTTGGTGATCTTGTAGCGAGGATACAATCAGCAGGAGCTGACATTGTGAAAATAGCAACCACTGCATTGGATATTACTGATGTGGCACGTGTCTTCCAAATCACTGTACACTCTCAAGTAAGCGGCGTAAGTAGTGTGACATGTCTTTTGGTCTCAACCTCCAAAAGTAACTTTGAGCTCATCTTCATCATCTTCATGTATTACTGAATCACATAAAAAACTTGTTTACGCCTATTTATCTTGTCTTATGCCACCTTCCCGATCAGTGAAAAAATGCCATTTTGTTAAAAAACTGCCATTTTTTCTCTTAAAAGGGCATTAAGATGGCATTTTTACTCTTTGAAATTGCCAAAATTCTCTCTAAAATTGCCATCAAGATGGCATTACTGACACAGGTTGGCATTTTTTCTTGTGGTGCTGGGAGGTTGTTGAGGCGGCGGCAGAGGCGTGCATTTTTTTTTATTAATTTTTTGCATTTTTTTTATCTATTTTAATTTTTTAAGTTTTTTAGTTTTATACTCCCTCCGGTCCCAAATGAAATTCACACTTTCCTTTTTGGGTAGGTCCAAGATAAACTTCACACTTCTTCTCTCTTCCTTATTTGGCAAATTATCTGCATCAAAACAGTGCCAAACAGTGTCACAACAATGTATTCTACAGTAAAGTCAAATTTATTTCCTTAATTTGTGTGAAGTCAAAGTGTGAATTTCATTTGGGACCAGAGGGAGTAATTTTTTATTTTTCTATTTTTTTAAATTAATTTTATATTCATTATTATAATATTTTATTGCATTTATAAAGCTTCATTATTTTTTGGCTTTATAATATATTATTTTTCATCATTTGCAATGGAGCCAAAGATTCATTATTTTTTGGCTTGAGATTATGATGGAATAAAGCAAAATGACCCACTAAACTGTCTGCGCTTCTTTTCTATGGAGCAGCAGTCAGTCCATGCAATTTTGGATGCGATTTTCACTATGGGTCATCCGGAAACAGTCTCTCTGTGCTTTAGTACAGAGGTAAGACTGCGTACATCCGACCCCCCCTTACCCCACCGTAGGTGGGAGCCTTTGCGGCACTGGGGTAAATGAAAATGAAAATGAAAATGAAATTATATTTGTGTTTTTTACATTTTTATTATAAATAAAATCATTTTATTGCATTTATATTTTAATTATTAATAAAATTTGAATTGTATTGAAACAAAGAAAGGATAGGATTGGAAAGATAGTCCTATTTAGGGAATTTGAAAGTTATACTCCTATTCTTGCAATTAAAGTTTCATTTAGTCCTATTTGGGGAATTCCCCCCATATTAAATTATTTTGTAATCTCAAGCAGCAATGTAATAAAGTTCTTGTTTGAAATACTCATTTTCAAATTACTAATCATTTATTAGGTTAAATAGGAAAGTTGGGGAAAGATGTGGAAATGCATCTCAAATTCCTAAAAACAACATTTAATGTGGGATTAATGGCTGAGAGAAAACAATTTGGGACAGAGGGAGTACGAGATAAATTTCCATTTAATTGCTTTATATATTTACTTCTGTACCGTATACTTTCCATTTGGGGATTTTTTAAAACAAATTTTACAAGATTTAGAAAACTTTCAGGTACCAATAATAGCCATGGTCATGGGAGAGAAGGGTTTGATTTCTCGCATACTTTGCCCAAAATTTGGTGGTTATCTCACTTTTGGTACTCTGGAAGTCGGAAAAGTATCAGCTCCTGGACAGCCAACCATTAAGGATCTTTTGGATTTGTACAATTTCAGGCAGTTAGGCCCGGACACTAGGATATTTGGCATTATTGGCAAACCTGTTAGTCATAGCAAATCGCCTTTACTGTACAATGAAGCTTTCAGATCAGTCGGATTCAATGGGGTTTATGTGCATTTACTGGTAGATGATGTTGCTTCTTTCTTCCAAACTTATTCAACTACAGATTTTGCTGGTTTCAGGTTTGATAATAGAAAGTTGCATGCTAATTCTCATGTGTGTGGTGCTGTGTGCATGTGCATGTGTGTGCATACTCACTTTAATAGTATGAAGTTTTCCACTTCTTTCCCATAGCTATTCGGTCATTCTCACTTCTGGTCATTGCTTTTCATCTTGGTCATGAGTCATGACTACGGATTTCTTCCCACTTTTGGTCCTTTCCATGTCACATATCTTGCAAAAATTTAAATAAAAGTTAGTTACCAACTTATAATAGTGCCTGGAAGGATCAAAAGTGGCAAAAATCCATAGTTGTGCACCAACAATAAAAGGTAAAATTTACAAATATACCCTTGATATTTACCTCCATGTGCAGATATGCCCGTAAGGTTTTTAAAGGTGCCAAAATATCCCTAAAGTTCATATTTAGGAGCAAGTTTACCCTTATTGACTTTAAATAAATAAAAAATGTATGTTTAAAAATACCCAAAATTAATTGATGAATATATTGAGTTTTGAGATTGAAAAGTAAAAAATCCATTTGTGTCAATGATTCCTTTTATTGATTTATATCAATTTAATTTTGTTAACATAAAAGATTTTTTTGCAAACTTTTAAATATAACTATGGTCGTTGTCGCAAAATATTAAAAACGTGTTGAAAAATTAAAAATCATTTTGTGGTATATGCTTTCTTTTATGTTAACAAAACTACCTCCGTTCTTTATTAAGTGTCCATCTAAGTATTTTGTGGTTTTTAAGAAGAAAATAGCAGTGGTAATATAGAGTGTGTAGGGTAAATGAAAAAGTAGGGAAGAAAATATAGTAAGTAGAGGAAAGCAATGGAAAAGTAGGAAAGAGAAAGTCATTTGTAAAAAGTAAAAAAGGTGAGGGGAATAAAAGTGAGGGTACAAAGGTATTTTAATAGGAAAAACTTACTAAAAACGGAAAGGTGGACAAATAATAAAAAAACTTCCCAAAAGGGAATATTTGCCAGTTAAAACTTAAAAGGTATGAAGGGAGTATTAAATTTGATATAAAAATAATAAGGAAGCATTGAACGCAAAATAGATTTTTAAATTTTTTATCTTTCATATTCGAAAACACAGAAGCATACTAGGAGGCTAAAAGAAAAGCAAAGAAAGCCGTAAGAGAAGCACGAGGGAAAGTGAACAAGGAGTTGTATGAAAAGTTGGACTCTAAGGAATGAGAACTAGATATTTATAGACTTGCTCGTCTTCGTGATCGCAGGACTCAAGATATTGCAAAAGTTAAGTGTGAAGGATGTCGATCAGAGGATATTAATGGACGACGGAGAGAAAAAAGAGAGTTGGAGGTCATACTTTGATACACTATTCAACGTGAACAAAACGCAAGATATCGGTGATTTGTCCATACCAGATTGTATGGTAAATTATGATTTTGTGAGAAGGATCCAAACAACGGAAGTTAAAGAAGCTCTGAGGAAGATGGGACGGAAGAAAGCAATGGGTCCAGATAGCATACCGATCGAGGCTTGGAGAAGACTGAGAGAGAGAGGCGTCAAGTGGTTAACAAGTTTCTTCAACATGATTTGGAGAAACAACAAGATGCCAACGAGTTGGAGGAAGAGTACTTTTATCCCCTTATTTAAGAATAAAGTTGATGTACAAGAATGTGCCAACTATCGAGGGATTAAGCTTATGAGTCACACCATGAAACTTTGGGAGCGAGTGATTGAGCAAAGACTTAGAAGAACTGTGAAGATTTCAGAGAATCGATTCGGTTTTATCCCTGGTCGCTCAACAACTGAGGCCATTCACCTTCTTCGACAACTTATGGAGAAGTATAGAGACGCTCATAAGGATCTGCATTTGACGTTCATTGACTTAGAAAAGGCATATGATAGGGTACCTCGAGAAGTTCTTTGGTGAGCCTTAACTAAGAAAGGCATATCACGTAAGTATATCAGTATCATCATGGATATGTATGAGGATTGTACTTCAAGTGTCCGTACTAGTGTACGGAGGACTGAAGAGTTCCCTATTACTATCGGAGTGCACCAAGGATCGACCTTGAGCCCTTTATTATTTGCCATAGTCATGGATGAACTTACGAAGTCAATTCAAGACGATATACCGTGGTGCATGATGTTTGCCGACAATATTGTATTGATTGATGAGACGCAATTAGGTCTGAAAGCAAAGTTGGAAGTATGGCGACAAATATTGGAGAATAAGGGTTTCAAACTAAGTAGGAGCAAGACAAAGTACATGGAGTGCAAGTTTGGTGGAGGTAGAAGCAGTGGTAATAGCGAAATTACTCTGGATGGTAAGAAGATACCAGTCAGCGATATGTTCCATTATTTAGGCTCCATAATTCAGAAGGACGGTGAATCAGAACATGGTGGATGAAGTGGAAGATTGCGTCAGGATTTCTATGCGATCGAGGTATGCCGACTACACTGAAGGGTAAATTTTATAGGACAACAATTAGGCCTGCATTACTGTATGGCGTAGAGTGTTGGGCAATGAAATAATGTCACATTCAAAAGTTGAGTGTGGCAGAGATGCGCATGCTGCGTTGGATGTGTGGGCATACTAGGAAGGACCGCGTGAGGAATGAGACAATCAGACAAAGGGTGGTAGTAGCACCTATTGAAGACAAGATGCGGGAGTCGCGCCTACGATGGTTTGGTCATGTGGGTAGAAGACCGAGTGATGCACCTGTTAGGCGAGTTGAGATGTGTGGAGAAGAGGCTGGGAAGAGAAGGAGAGGAAGACCCAAACACACGTGGGTTAAGGGAGTTCAAAGTGATATGCTTCTTCTAGGGTTGGATGAGGGCATGACTTTGGAGACAACTAAGTGGAGGGCGGGTATTCGCGTGAAGGAGTGATCTCGTATCATCTTTTTTACTTGGTTTTTATCCTTATATATATATAAGCATTATTTGTAGCCTTTTTATTTTATCATTTTTATGTATATTCATCTCTTTTTATATTATCTTTTTATAATAGCTTATCTTTTTTTATCTTTATTTTCTTTCTTTCCCTTTTGGGTGTGATATGATGTATCGATTCACGTTAGCCTACCCCAATATCTTTTGGGACTAAGGCTTGGATGTTGTTGTTTTTCATATTCGAAAACAATGTATTTATTAATTTTTTTTTTCAAATTTCATTTATTTATTTAACCTCGCTAAACTCACTATATTCAAAAACATTATGTATTTCCATCATTTTCAATGGAGTCAAAAACTTACTATATTTTGGCCGGGGAATATGGTGGAATAAAGCAAACCGACTCACTAAACTGTCTGCGCTTCTTTGTTATGAAGCAACAGTCAGTCCATGCAATTTTCGACGCGATTTTCACTATGGGTCATCCAGAAATAGTCTCTTTGTGCTTTAGTACAGGGGTAAGACTGCGTACATCCGATCCCCCTTACGCCACAGTAGGTGGGAGCCTTTGCGGCACTGCGGTAATGATGATAATGATGATGATTTATTTAAAGTCAATAAGGGTAAGTTTGTTCCTAAATACTCCCTCTGTCCCGAAATTAACTTCCCACTTTCCTTTTCGGGCAGTCTCGAAATTAACTTCCCACTTCCTTATTTGGCAAATTATCTACATCAAAATAGTGCAAAACAGTGTCGAAATAGTAAAATTTACCCCCTAGTAAATTTATTTCCTTAATATGTGTGAAATCCAAGTAGGAAGTTAATTCCGGGGCGGAGGGAGTATGAACTTTAGGGATATTTTTGCATCTTTCAAAACCTTAAGGCATATCTGTACCTGGAGCTAAACATTAAGGGTATACTTGCACCTTTTTCCTAAAATAAATAGATAGAAGCCAGGGACCAAAAGTATGACCTGATATTCGTGGAGCCTAAACGGAAATTGTGCGTTATAGTAATTAGTAATGTAGCTTTGCATTTTTTTATTTTCAGTTGCACCATTCCTCACAAAGAGGCTGCCCTTGAAACCTGTGATGATGTGGATCCAATTGCAAAGGTACTGATCATTGTTCTAAAAGTCTGAATAGGCGCTCATCTAGGTGGTTGCCTGGCTCCCCGATTCTGTCCTAGTCGATAGGAAAGTCGGTCAGCCGGTTAGGCGCCCAGATGTGTGGTTAGTTCTCGATCCAATGTATTTTTCCCCCCTCAGTCCTTAATACATCGCTTGGTAATTAATTATTATATTTGTATTCAAGATCTTACTTTACTATTTTTACAATAGAAAAATGCCTTTTAAATGCATATGAACTATCCGAATGAGTAAAAAATACAAACTTTTAAAACCTAAATGTTCTTTATTTATGTTAATATTTACTATGTAGTAGTTTATAACAATAGCATAACATTTAAGACTTATATGAGCTACTTTTATTACCAAAATATGCAAAACTCGCTAGCAAGTAATACTAAAAATCATAAAAAATTAAAACTAAAATTAAGAGGGAGAACTAGGCAGCGTTTAGGTGGTTTAGGCGGTAGGCCTCCACCCAACTAACGCCTTGCGCCTTTTAGAACATTAAATTGATGTCTTGAATGAATGGCCTTCAGTCAATAGGGGCTGTAAATTGCATTATAAGGAGAAGTACGGATGGGAAGTTATTTGGTTGCAATACAGATTATGTTGGCGCTATCTCTGCTATTGAGGATGGCCTGCGAGGTTTATCATCAGCTACTTATCTGAAAAAATGTGGCTTGTCTCTGCTGTAGAGTTTACAATGTTGATTTTCCAACATCTTTTCAGGTTTGCATCATGCTCCACTTGTCAATTCACCATTGGCTGGGAAGTTATTTGTAGTAATTGGTGCTGGTGGTGCTGGAAAGGCACTAGCATATGGTGCAAAAGAAAAAGGAGCTAGGGTGGTCATCGCTAACCGTACCTATGGTTAGATGACTTAGATCATATTCTCTTTTACTAACCTCTCTATGTTTTAAATTGTCATTTGAGTAATGTTACAGTCACATCAAGGTTCAACACCTGGATGACATTTAGGGGGTAAGATAAGTTAAATAACCATTGCATGCCTAAAATGACATTCAGGCACGTAAACTTGGATGGGGACTTGGCATTCTTCGTGTCTTGCATAATACTAGTATTCTTATAGTAGTACTCCAATAATATGTGTGAAGATTACTTGTATTGTTATGGATATCACGTAATTATATATGTCAGTGTGTGCGTGTGCATTAAGAGGCCATTTTGGTGACATTGTTTTTTGGCTTATCAACCAATTTTTTTACCAAATACGTAACTTTTGATTTCGCGCGTTGAATTGTGTAATAATCAAAATAAGTAAGGTCAGAGTTACTTTTCTGGCTTAAGTTACTCTAGAGGACCAGATTAGCTATTTTTTCATATAAATTTTTCGTTATTATTAAATTATTTTAATTTTTTCCCCCATAAATCAGCTGATTCACTCAATTTAAGTGTTACCAAACGGGCTTTAAATCTCACTTTTGCACAATTATTACCCTCTTTCATTGCTTATATTATAGCAACATCACTCTTTAGCCATAAACTCATGGCTAGATTCTAGTCATGGAGATTTATTGCTCATAAATTATGTAATGTCAAATAATTTATTTATTGCCTATTTGCCTTGCTTGAAGAACGAGCCAAAGAGCTGGCAGATATTATTGGAGGACAAGCTTTGTCCCTTGCCGAGCTTAATAATTTCCATCCAGAAAAAGGCATGATTCTTGCAAACACCACTTCCATCGGAATGCAACCAAAAGTTGACGAGACACCAGTTGCTAAGGTTTGCCTTTGCCAATTTAGAGCAAAAACTTAAAATTGGATATTTATGTATCTATCTTTAATGGTGTACTATTCGGTATTCCCCCTCTCCCCAGAATTATTGACATTGAACTGAGCAGGGATGTATTTCTGCAGGAAGCCTTGCAATACTATTCGCTCGTGTTTGATGCTGTCTATACACCAAAGATAACTAGATTATTAAGAGAAGCTGAAGAGTCTGGATCAAAAATTGTTACCGGTGTAGAAATGTTCATTGGGCAAGCATATGAACAATACGAAAGGTTCACAGGATTGCCTGGTAAGCTGAATATAGAGCTTGTTTGGGAAAATAAGTTTAGTTTGTCAAGGGTTATTTCACATTGATGGCTGATTCTGTTGAATTCTCAGAAATGAGAAGTGTTTGATGACATTAATTTTAGCCAAATAAGCAAGTCAAAAGTTCCTTATTGTGCTTATGCTAATTATTCTGCAAATAAGCAAAAAGCAAAATAAGCCTCTCTTGGCTACCAAATGAAGCCATTAGGGTGTTAGTGCTTTTATCATAAGTTTTTCTAATTCAAACTTTAAAAGTGCTGCTTTGAAAAAAGCACCAATATGTTGCTTCCTTAAACACGAAAATGCTACTAGTACAAACGAACTTACAAATGATCTGGCTCATATATTCACCATTCATGTAAAGGTGATATGATGTGCTGCAAAATGTGGTGTTGACACAGTCTCTTTTGTAACCTTTTCAGCAAGGATGCTTTTACTTGGACTGGTTGTAGTTCTGGACCAGAATAGACCAGACAGATCAGATCAGATTTTAATAGTTATAAAATACACGGAGATCAAATGACCAGACCAGACCAGAAAATTTCAGTCCAATTAAAAACATCAAGTGTGTTTGAACTTGTAGCATACATATCTTAAATAAGCATTTTAAAAATGTTCTTCTACTGTTAAAAGTAAATCATCGAACACTTAGGTAATTTTGTCCTTCTTGTTATACTAATATATGGTTGGACATTCCCTGATTATATTTTTTCTTTTTGTTCATTCTGTGTGGTACAATGGCAGCTCCCATGGAATTATTTAAAAAGATAATGGCGAAATATTGAATCCAAGCTTACTCCTATGGGCTTCAATTGTGGAGTGTTTTTTTGTTCTTGATAATTTCTTGTATGTTTTTTATTTCTGAAAGGGCATATGTTTTGTCCAATGAAAACTTGCTTATATTTTAGCAGAAAAAGAAAAAGAAAAATAGTGATGGCTTTGTTAGCCTCATGTACTAGTAGTTCATTCTTATGGCAACTTGGCAATTACTGCTGCTCATCAGGGGCGACATTGCCACAAACATTAGCTTTCATTTGAGCAATTGGTATTTTTTTTAAACATAGTCTTGTAATTTGTGACAATCCTAAATTTGTAATACTCTGCTTGAAGTTCTTGGTGTAGAAACATTTGTTCCAATAGTTTATTTGATCAAGTAAGTAAAACTTGGGCTCTGCGCAAATTTGTTTTTTCTTCTCTTTTCCTTGAAATATTGGTATAGAATCCTGATGACTCGTCTGGTGAGGGTAAAACTATGCTATATGCCAATACCATTTAAACTAGCTATTCTATAAAAAGCCTCTTACATAACTTGAGCTCATGACCTTGAGTCACAAAATTCGTAATATTGCTCTCCATTTAATTGGATGGGGAGGTCTTGTTTCTATTCATTTCATACTCCGTAATAAATTAATAAAAGTAGTGAAAGTACTAAAAAGAAATTCTACAAACAATGCATACTTATTTTACCAATAATTTTTATAACACTAAATTATTTTTATTTTCATGTTAATATTTTTATGGTTGGACTCGGGTCGGGCCACCTGGCCCGTGGACCGGCCCGGCCCGCTACTGTGCGGGACTGGCCCGGTTCTCGGGTCCGGGTCCGGGTTGGGCTTAGGCCTGGGGGGTAGGGCGGGTCTGGGCTCGGGCTCGGGTCTCAAATTTGGTGAATCGGCCCGGCCGGGTCGGGCCCGGGTTTGGGCCAAATTGATTTTTTTTTTTCATTTTTGGGGTTCCACCCGGGTTGGGCTTGATGGGTAGGATGGGTTTGGGGGTGGGGGGTTAGGAAAGCAAAAAAAAATCCAAATCGGAGGCCCGGCCCGGTCCGGACCCGGATCGGACACGGTGGCTACCTGGGCCGGTCCCTTGTATGAATTGGATGAAGTTGAATCTGTAGAATTATTTAATCTTGTTAAGCATAGGCATGCAATGACAATTTTAGGTTTTGTTGTAAAATTTTGGGAAGTGGTTGGCTTCAACTGCAGGGGTTTATTGCACATAAGGGTGTGTTTGGGAGTTGAGTTTTGAAATTGGAGTTTATAAAATTGGAGGGGATAGTTTTGGAGGGCTTTTGTGACCCTCCAAAGCTAGGGATGGACTGGGTCGGGCCGAACCGGCTCAGAATCGGACCAGTCCGTTACTGTGCAGGCCCGGACCGAATCGGGTCCGGTTGGCCGGTTCTGGGCTTTGCGCCCGTGTTAGCGGGTCGGGCGGGGCCGGGCTCGGGCCTCAATATTGTTGAACCGGCCCAGGCGGTTAGGGCCGGGCTCGGTTCCATTTTTTGTTTTTTCAATTTTTTTCTTTTCCTTGGGTAGGGCTGGGTGTTTTGGAGAGGTTTGAGGGGTGGGGGCGAGGGGGGGGGGGGGGGGTCGGGGGTTAATTAGAAAGCAAAAAAATTAAATAGACCCAGGCTCGGCCCGGTTTGGCCCGGACCCGATATTAACCCGCCCGCCCAACATTCTGCAAAAAAGCCCGCCCAGGCCCGGCCCGGGTCCATCCTTATCCAAAGCCATCTAAATGCTCAATTTTTGAGTTCCCCCAATTTGGAGAGTTGTGAAGGATAATTAATGGAATGATAATTTAAGCTCAATTAAAAATAATATCAGTTCAATTATTTGAATTCGTCCTTTCTCAAAGTGATTTTAATTGTAATTAATTCAAAAAAATTCTTTTTCCAAATTTATTACTCCCAATTACAAAGAAAGGCTTCCTCACTCTCCCCTCCCCCCTCAACAACATACCTCCAAAGTCTTCCTCTTCCCTTCCTTTAAACTCCCAAATAGGCGTGGACTCGGGCCGGGTCGGGCCCGGGCCGCCGGTTTGTATGACATGGGCCCGGGACGGGCCCGAGGGTTGGACGGGTCCGGTTCAGGCCGGGCCACCCGCCCGGGTCACGGGTCGGGTCCGATTCGGGCCGGGCCGGTTAAAGTTTTTTTTATAATTTATATTTTATAGTTTATAGTTTTATACGAGTATTAAAAACAAACTTCAAGTGCATTTATTTGAAATGAAATAGGAACTACATTTGAAAATTAAAACAAACTTTATGAGAAACATTTTGAAAATTGTAATCAATCGGAACTTCCCGCACCTCCCGATCCTTTGGCTTTGTCACATGACTTCATATGCTTGATTGCCATCCCGTATCCGCCTGAAACCCTCATGCTACATTTTTCTCGCACCATTTGCAAGTTGCGTACCACATCCCGGTCTTCGGGTCCTTCTGCTTATCAAAATTATACCGTATAATGGCATCTTGATTTTCCATCTTAACTTCTTAAGTATAAACTATAAAGTAGATATATAAATAATAAATATAATATATTGGAGAATAAGAGAATTAGAGAGTAGAGAGTTAAGAATAGGATTTAGGAAGAATTGGAGAAGAGATATGAAAAAATGTTTAAGATTAGGAGTATTTATAGGTTTTTTACCCCTCACCCCCCACCACCACCCCCCCGGACCCCCCCAAGACCCATCCAACGGCTATGTAGCCGTTTCGGTTGTCCCCAGCCCACCCATAACGGCTAGTAGCCATTTATTTATTTATTTTTAAATATGACCGTTGGACCCGGGCCTAGGCCCGACCCGGCCCGGTCGGGCCGGGTCACATTTTTTCGAAATCGTGCCCGCCCAGCCCATTTCCACCGGTTCGGGTCTACACCCGGTCCCAGACCGCCCGACCGGGTCGGTCCCGGGCCGGGTCACAGGCCGAGTGGCCCGCCCAAACATACCTTAAATGTTGGGAGTAGAGCCTATAAATGGGATTGCATAATGACTTTGAGATGCAACACCCACGCATCACTAAGATAATATGTATAAAGCTATAAGTGGTGAAATAGCATAATAAAAACAGTAAGATATACTTTTTGTTGTAAATCCTTACACGACATGCTTATATTTGGTGAGGGAAAGTAAGACAACTTTTCATCACATGATCGATGGGAGAATTAGATATTTAAATTTTTAGAAATTGCTCGGAGCAAAAACGTTTTAAAATTTCAAAATAAGAGTATCATATTTTTTATTTCTTGAATAAGAATAATCTGTCAAGTTTCGGAAAAAATGCCACGTTTTAAAGTCTAGTAATGCCAAACTTGACAGAAATTTAATCTTATTCAAGGAATAAAAAACATGATAGTCCTATTTTTGGAGTTTCAAATTTTTTTACTCCTATTTAGGGAATTCTCTTCTTAAATTTTTTGAGTCATCGGTTGCTTGGAAGATTGTTTGACTCTAATGTAGGGCATTTCTTATTAAAAATTATATAATAACCTCGTTTTGAATTGGTGTATGCCCGTTTTAGAATGTCTCTAATTCTAGTTTTGTGGTGCATGCCTGTTTTATAATGTCAAGTCTTGTTTTGTCTGTGAAATATTTTGGGAGAACTATCAAATAAATCCTCGAATTTATATAAAAAGTGCAGATAAGTATTTTTATATGAGACTCTGTTCGGCCGTCGCCATTTGGGGAAGTTTACGGTGGAATTTTTTGATGATTTTTTTTTAGCATCTTCTTCATTAAGTCTAGTTTACCCATATCAAATTTTAGCTAAAACTTCAACCGAGAAATCACTCAAATGATTTTCTAAAATATATTGCACTGTTATCTTCAAAAATTCATCTAAGTGCCTTCCCGATTGAATATTTAGCTGAAATTTGGTATGAGTAAACTAGGCTTAATGAATAAAATGTTCAAAAAAATTATCAAAAAATTCGATCGGGAACCGCCCCAAATGACGACGGCCGGACAGAGCCTCCTATAAAAAAGGCTTATTTGCATTTTTTATGTAAGTTTGAGAGCTTATTTGATAGTTCTCCCAAATACTTTTGATACACATCTACACTCTACTCGAGATCATGCCTATTTAGAGGCTTATAGGCATAAACCTCATGCCTTATAAAATTTAGAAAAGATTGGGGCCCATAATTTATAAATTATGTTTTTATTTGGACTTTAATTCCTCCCAGATCAGACCAGATCAGACCAGAACAAATCAGTTTAGACTAGACGAGACTTGGATAGTTATAAAAATACAAAAAACCTAGACCAGACCAGTTAAGACCAGACCAGCAAATTACAGTTTAAGTAAAAACATCCTTACTCTGTATTATACTATTATATATACATATACGAAGTATCTTTTAATATATATACTTATATAATACTCCCTCCGTCCCTTATAACTTTGCCAACTTTCCTTTTTTGGTTGTCCCAAAAACTTTGCCGCTTTCCATTTTAATCAATCAATTTGTGGCTCCTGTCATTTCTCTCTCCTCTGCACAAATATCTACCACACATTTTTTACTTTATTATTCTACGTGCCGGTCAAACTTGGCAAACCTTTAAGGGACGGAGGGAGTACTTCGTATTAAATATCTTATTTTATACTATAATTTGCAATACACGTACATGTGTGTCCTTATATAATTTTGTTTTATATAGAAAGCTCTCCTCATCTCTTCTTTTTTTATGTTTTTATTTCAACATGAATTTTTTCTACTCCGGGGGTGTGGGGAGGAGGGATGGGAGGTCCGGAGTAATCATAGGGCTGAAACTCAATCCATTGAGTTTCAAACCCTTATATGTCTAGCGGTTTTCGAACTCGAAACTTTCCACTAGGCACGGTAACTTCACCACCAGCTAGGCTGGAATGCTTGGATTTCCTACATGATTATATATATATTTCCTCAAAACAAATTTATTGCGTTTGTGATATACTCCTTCCGTCACATAAAATTTGATCAACTTTCTCTTTTTGATTGTTTCAAAAACTTTGAAATCTCAATCACACAATTATTAAATACAAAATAAGTTATTGTAAAAATTACTATATTTAAACTCGGTTGAAGTCTAAATGTGATTAGGATTAGATCTCAATCTACCTCGAATCTTTTCAATTTTATGTTTTGACTATAAAGAGTGTTTTGAGGAGTTTACTCACTTTATTATTTGTTAAATTTTGTTAGGATGAGATTCATGAGAACAATAATGAAAAGTCTTGTTTGGATGATTTCGTCGAATTGAAAAGTCAGCTTAATACAAAAAAAGTCATACGTAGGGAGTATGAATTAATTAATTAATAAGCCAAACATAAAAGGAAAAAAAAAGAAGTTCACGTTTCACGGACCTTCTCGCGTTTGGAGGGCCCACCCAGCAGCCCGAAGGGTAACGTGATGAAAGATGGAGCA